TTAATCATTGTGCAACTGCAGTGATGGAAGGTGAAGTCCCACTAGCTTCATTGAGTTAGTGACACTAATTATAAGTCTGCAGATGCAGACAAATTATTGTGAAAAAAAAGAAATAGAAAAAAAGACAATGGCAGAGTTGTTCATATGGAAGGTTAGTCCATTAGCAGCTCCAAGATTAGCAGCAGAATATCATTTTGTGGGGCGTGCTAACTTTTGTGACACACTTTAGCTTTGACACAAAGAAAGGAAAAAATGATGCAGTGATGAGTGGAATTTGGTCGAGTATGACTATGTGCTGGTACTTATGTCAACGAACACAAGATTTTTCTGTCAGTCTAGTATCTTTGTCCATAGGTAGACAGAGCTACAGCTTATCTTATGTTTCTGCTATATGCTATATGAGACTATAACTGTTAGGACGGTACGGTTAACAGGACCTGTGGAACACATGTGGGACTTTATGATGGGATTCATGGGGGAAATTTGATTCTTGTAAGTGCATAACAAAATAACGTTATGTGGGCGCCTTTGAGGTACGAGCTCCACGAGGATTCTCCTGCACACTGGTCAGTAATCACCAGCTGTCTGCAGCGAGATCGTGCGGGGTTGTTAGACCTACAATAAGATGAGCAGTGACATGTGTTAGCCCTGCAAGGGCAAATGCAATGTAGCTCAAGGTTCCTTTACACAAATCTGATAATCACACGTGTAAGGTAAGAAGTTCACAACAGGCTTAATGTGTGTTGAGTAATGAGAAGGCGAGTTTCACCGAGCACAGACCTCATCGCTGGGGCCTTTTCTTCATCTTTATTCCTGTAATACCTGTTGATTAAACACTCTGAGTGATTCCTCTGGTGCTCTCTGGTGACCCCTGCTATTTGTAAAGGAGACAAATTAAAGTCCTCCATCAAAATGTGATCAATGCCAGAGAGCCTCTGGGTGAAATGGGCACCACGGTGTAATGAAGCTATAACTCAACTTTAGTGCATTCTAAATGAGTGATGGACATCTGAGAGTACAGAGGAAGGATTTCCTCATAGCCTCTTTTACATGTCAACATGAGAAATTAACCTAATTTCAATATTCTTTCGTAGCACTTCTTTTACAAAATAATTACTGGTGCTACAACATTTCAAGTATTTTATATATATATATATATGTGTTGAGTGATTAATTCGCTTGTTCACTGAATTCGTGATTGAGTGCTGAATTACTGTAAAATGTTAGATCAATTTCATGCTCTCAGATTAATCCGGGTAACTCTGTAATACTTGACAAAGCAAATTAGATCAGAAGAAGCTAACTGAAACAGATCTCACACTTGACTTTTATTTTTTACTACTGGAAAACGAACAATTGTGCGTTTGGGAAAAGCAATATCGCATCTCATTTCATAATGAAATAAAATAGAAATGTGTTAGTAAATGTTTATTTTACTACAGCAGATATCATAGAACAGATGCTCCGCAACTATTGGTCAAAACCTTGTTGTGTTATTGTGTGTTTGTAGTGTTCCAAACAGAAACACCAGTTTGTCCATCGGTGTTTCTGTCCACTGGTGGACAAACTGGTGGACAAACTATGCAACATCAACACTCGTACTGTACCACAGTTGAAGGGTGTTTCTTCCACCTCTTTGTTAGTTTTATTAAAATTCAAATTTATCAGCTAAATGTTCTTTATGTTTGTTTATCTGTCTGTTTTTTTTGCATATAGTTATATTAATTATGCAATTTAGCGACAATATTCAATAATTAAATTCTGAGGTCTGATATAATCGAACAGATTCAGAAAGCCTTATGCTGACATCAGATATTCCTCATTGGCTGTCTCGAGGTGGGGGTTTAGCAAAACTTTAGATTTGTGGCAGTTTTACACTCTTGATCATTTCACCCTTCTTTGTGATCTGTGAAGCCAAGTTAAACTGAACATTTTCATTTCCACTTTAATGCGGTACACTCCACTCATTCAAATTCAGCGTGATATTGCTAACCTTTTGTGAGTACCAGATACAACACTGAGAAAAGGCTGAAACGCAATATTGCCAGTGATTGGAGGTCTTTAGCGGACCAGGGCTTACCTTGAAAATAATGTCCTCGTTGAATGGATTCTACAGACATATTATTTTAGATCTGTGAGAGAAATTATGTTTGCTTATGGCTAATCTACTTGAAGCTATTCCTTTCTAAACTACAGCTTTCATACTGGCGCTTGCCCCAAATACATATGAATAAGACTCAGACTTCACAAAGGCAGCTTTGGCATGCATCAAAAGTTCTTAATAAGATACTTTACCTGCAAGGCACCCCATAAGTGACTGCAGCAGCAGCAGTTTCCATAGCAACATCATCTTCAATTTTGTAGGGTCAAAGTAGTCTCACATCCAATCACGAATGTATGGAATCCGATTTGCACCTTTCTGGTTTTCCAATCTGTAGAAGAAGGCATAGGTGAGATTAGTTGAAAGTAAAGTTTTCGTTAGCAAGTAGCCTTTCCCCACTCAGCATACTCATTTCACAAGTTTTGGAACTACATGCAGGAACGTACAACTGAAAGAACATATTACACACTAATTATGAGCTACGTTATAGTTTATCAAGTAAACCCAAATCTTTCACTGTGTGTTTAAAGTTCACAGTAAACTCCTGGTTCAAATTTCGTGGAAGTTGAGCAGCAGAAAAAGACAAAGCATCGAGTTTTCAGTTCAGTGTGTGTGTGCGCTTGTGTATGTATATCCGTATCTCCAGCGTGACATCTACTTTCAAGTCAGTTTAAAAGCAAAGCTACTGCTAAAACTTTTCATAGTATTGTTCTTCTTTGAAGCCGCACAGCTTTCATGCTCAAAAAACCCAGTGCCGAGCCGAAAGACGGAAAATGCTGAAAAGCTGGAAAACGCTGAAGAATTTCACAGTTGTGTGCTTTTTCCTCAACAGAGATAATATCTCTCCGGAGTGAGAATTAAAACTGGACCGTTTGGAGAGTGTCAGCAAGACAGCACTCGGCAATTCAAACCACAGTAAAGTGGTGGTGGTGATGGTGAAGGAGTGGTGGTGGTGGTCGAGATTTATGAATGAAAACACTGTCACTACTTATGCTAGCTTAAGTCACTAAAGACTTTTGCTGCACAAATCACTTTGTTTCTCTAAATTACACCCAATCTGAAACTATTTTGAGCTGTTTTGATAACTGTGCAGCCTTCTCTCACTGAATACACTTTAAACATCTTCTAGCATGTGAATGTATTGTAAAGATTGCTGTTTACAGCCTCTATATTCAAAGAGTTTCATTGTGCAGAAAACATTTGTATGCATACACATGCGTATCATTGTTACTTATAATAAAAGACGCTGATGGGCACCAACACTTAGTACAATTACTACAAAAGGCAGATTTTTTTAAACGAACACTGTTTTCTGTGACTGTGCCGTTAGGTAGCCATAGTAACAATGATGGGAGCAAAGGGGAACGCAACAACTCTGAAAAGTGAGGAGGTCTACGTGGATAGATGGCTGTTCCTTTCAAAATCCTGAAGAGTATTTTTCTTGATGTGAGCTCATTACTATGGCTATGACAAGCGATGTCCAGCTAAAGATGAAGTTGTATATTTAGTAAGGAATAAGCTATATCTGCTTTCTCATCTCCATTTATCTTTGTGTGATTTGTAATGCTCAATTTTATTCATCACCTTTGTTTTCCCATCATGTAACATTTACATGCCTCAACATTTCCTGTTACCTTCTTGCCTGCGCACATCCTCTAAACCGATCAGCACCTATTGTAGCACCTGCTTTTTTAAAAATCATTCTTTTCTGTTAATTTTCTGGCTCCCAGGCTGTCTGTCATGCCCCCCCCTTTCCTCCACCTAATCCAGGGTGTCTCAGCCAAGATCTCCATCAACCATCTGCTTACTCTGACAGACTCCAGGGGGTCCAGTTACTATCTCTATGATGCTGCTTCTGATTAGGGTCCAAGAGAACTTAAATGTAAGTTAAAATAAATAACTTGATTTATTTTAAATGAATTCACTTCCTGGAACGGAGGTAAAATAAATTTTACTCTGTATTATTGCCTCGTTGGGTTTTGTGATGCCTATCCTTCATCCTTACAATTACGTTTAAGGATCTTAAAAAACATTGTAATTGGTGTGATTCACAGTGAAACCTGTACTTGAAAAATAAAATTCATCTAAATATGTTGGTTATGAAGGTAGTAACAATATAACTTCCCGTGGGGACCAAGTCAATAAATGCTGTATGAATGTGGGCTCGTTCAAAAGGAAATTAATAATAAAAGAAAAAACCCCAAAAGGACAGGATTCATTAGGTAAAGTGGCTTTAAACAGTACTGTTCACCAAAGCAATGTATATTGATTGTGTTGGAGAATTTGTTGTTAGTCTTTGTTCACACTAATTTCCTGGCTTCTGCACCCTCAACCTGCCAATATGCATTAACATCCTTTGAAGCTGCTAGCAATGTCTATCCTGCACCTGTGTGCTCATAGCATGCAGACACATCCTGTTGCATTAGTGAATATGAAACACAAATGTATTACTGTTTTTATTTTTTCAATTAAAAAAATATAGGTTCTTCAAAACATTGATTTTCAGGACTGCCGGCTTTACAAACTACAATTCTCTGTTTCTGGGCTGCGCATTAAAATGCTTTTTAAACTTTGCAGCCAAAATGATAGGCATTTGGTTTAAAGGGGTTGTTGAATAACGCACAATGTAAATAGGGCACAGCGAAGGGAGACAGATTTATCCTGTTTGCTTGCAACTCCGAGGAAAGAATACAGAATAAGTTTTGCAAGAAATGTCAGAGGCTGCCTGTGGAAAAGCTCTACTTTTGTAAGAATTAAAGCAACACAGCCAGTTAAGAAGTGAAATCTACCTTTTGCAGAGCTCCTCCAGGAAAAAAAAAGGCATTAATCTTTTGTCTCCTGGGTAAAATATATTTAGAACTGAGGCATGTTTGACACAAACCTCTCCAAAATTACAACTATTTGTGTAATTTTGCCATTACAAAGGAGCACAGAGGAACTCTGTTTTGCCACCCCTGCTGTGATTCAATATAGACAGCACAAAGTTTTAAAACAGTCAGAAAAAGTGAGACAAAACCACTAAAAAACCAAAACAGGCACAGGAAACTGTTTGAGTAGGCCACGCTCTCATTAATCTCAGATTTTCTACCTTCCAGCTCTGTCTGCTGTCTCCACCTACAGAAAAGAGGTCTTTTATCTCCATACATCATATAAAGGGTTGTCAGGATGTGTCTTGGGTACATCAGTGGTATAAGGCTGTGCCTCATCCTAGAGAATTTTTTTTTTGCATATTAATATGCTCTCTTATAAAACCACCAAGCCATGTGTTTATTAAGCGAATGCATTTATTTGTGGTGATGCTTTCCTCAAAAAGTTTTACACCAGCGTTAATTTGCAAGCGCAAAAACACTTAGCATGACGACATATAAAAGTGCAGTTCAGCAACACAACTACACAAACAGCAGCTTTCACTGGTGAACGCCGTGGGAACACTACAACAATCAACCAAACAGTAAAGGGTGTGTGTTAAGGTCACTTTAAAGAACAACAGACAACTGCAGCGTTGTGTTCCTGCATCATAAACAGCTATAACGGATGAAGAACCACAGCTGCAGGAGAGACAGTGTACAAATGTAGGGCTGTGCAAAAGAGTCACATGCTGGGTCATCTCTGTGGTTTGGAAGCCCTTCGGTTACGATCAGTCTAAAAATTGTTTGGATCTAAAAAGTACATTCACTAACATTTGCTTATTGTGAAGGTAAAAAAAAAATAGCTTCAGTGAAAATATATTTTCTGTTGAAAATTTGTTGGTCATTAAATGCACACAGTCTCTTTTTTTCAGTTAAGCATTCAGGCACGAGGTAATCCTGAATGTCTGTCTTTACTAATGTTCTGATATGAATTACAAAACGATGGATGAAAACTAAAAGAAGGCCATTCTTGTTATTTCTAGTGGTACATGCGACCAGTTGTTGTGTTTAAGTGTGATTAAATCCAGACACAGTGATATAGAAGTGTGTCCTGTAGGTTTATCATCACAGTAAGAATCCAGTTTTGCTTGCAACTTGTTATAAGCTGATACCTGCCCTGGACCCTCTGAAGTCACATTTTCGGGGTATGACCAAGCAGTGTTATATGACGTGTTAGGAGTTAGCTGAGTAGATAAAGGCTTTGGAACTGTATTACCGGTTTATTTAATACAATATTTTCTCCATTGCCCCATTAATACTTGGTAGTTTGGTCTGAGACTGTGCCTTAGGCAGCAGACAATGACAATTTCGACATATCAGACCAATCACTCAAAAGGAGACTCAAAGAATGTAAAATATATAGAAAAAGACAAATCCAGGACACACACTGCATCCTGTGCATACAGAATGAACATGTCAGATTTCTAAATGTAGAAATCAGAAGGTCTTTTAAGTATGCACAAGTGATTAAAAGAGAAAAAAGGGCCACAACTCAATGGATAAACCAGTATTTCATCCACATGTAGTAGAAAAGCAATTTTACATTGGATGTTTAGGCATTTTAATATCAACCTGTCACAAAAACACATACTTTTTTTTTTTTTTTTTACCATTTCTTTAGTTTTAGTTATACCTGTGAAAAAGCCCACAGATAACAGTTTGACAGCTATAAACGGTACTTTGTGCAACAAAGTGATTTCCAAGGAGCTACCAGCCACAACCTTGTAATATCTCACATTGTCCAGTGTGTCCTTTAAAGGTTTGAGGAAACTAGATAAGTAGCTGCCCTAAAAATCCTCTACAGTAGAAGACATAAAATAATGATGATGTATATGGTCCTTCAGTTGATCTACTATTCACTAAAGCCTGATTGGAAGAGTGGCTGTCAAGAAGCCATTAAGTAAGAGAAACATGAAGAAAAAAGGTTTTATGGACCAAATTCTCATCGATATGTTGGCAAGGATCAGGAGAGAGGTACAACAGTGAGCATTTACAGCCACAGTAAAACATGGTGGAGATGCAGCCACGGTTAAGGACTCGGTCAGTGGTGCTGTGAATCTCGACAAAATCGCCGAACATGTCACAAACACAGAAAAGTACCGTCAGGCTTTGACTGAAAAACACAAATAGAGCTACAGACTGGAATCCTCTGAAGCCTGATCGCAACATTAACAAAACAAAAAAAGTTGTGTGATATCATTCATGAACCCTGATGAACAATTCCTGAAGACAAACTAAAGAAATGCTTGCCTGAAAGAGTTGAGGCTGCGTTGAAGGATAAATGCTGTCATACCACATGTTAACTTTCCAGATTGTAAGAATTGTACAAACTTTTTTCCCCCTTATATTCTCTATTTCCATAAATGCACTTTTCTATAAATGAATGCACCTATTTCACATTTTACTAGCAAGATATAAAGAA